AAAGCCCTTGGATTCTAGTTTGTGGGACTATGCTTGGATGCATGCTTGGGTCTCGTATGTGCTTGGAATTGTGTGCCGAAGTGACGCCCATCATGTGTTCGATGAAAGTCCCTTGTTTTGCTTTGTTTGTTTTCCTTAGTTTGTGTGTTTCATTTTTTCCTCCTCTTCATTCCGGCTTTGTTTCACTCTCGTCACGTGACTTGTTGAGTGTTTTTACACATATTTTTGGTGAATATTTCCATCATGCTTGGTTTGATCTTAGGGTCGTTCACGTTTTTCAATGCCTCTCTTTCGTGCCTCATTTGTGTGTGCGGTGTTTCATTTCATATTGCATCGTACCCCTGCATTCTTCATCTTACTAATTGAGTTCCGACTCTCCATGTGTCAGATGGCCTAGAAGTGTTCTCGACCTTCTGCGCAGCCAGCTAGTGGTTCGACGTCGTATAGTCGTTCCAGATTCATTTCTGCTACAGCTCAGGAGGTCTTCACTTCTCAATTCTCCTTACGCCCCGTTCTCATGGAGCGTGAGGTAATCCTCTCTGACCTTCCTGTTGATATCGTCGCTATTTTTGTTTCCCGGGGTTGGGAGCCCCTTTTTGTTGGTCTTTCACCTCCTCCCCCACTCCTGATTCAGGAATTCTATGCTAATATTCATGATATAGATGACTCGTTTTTTCGGGTTACTCTTAGAGGTCATTCTTTTAGGGTTACTCCGTCGGCTGTAGCTCATGCTTTAGGTATATCTCAGATTACCCATCCGACTTATCCCTATATTTTACCTGCTTCTATTCCGACCGATTCTCTTGTTCGGTCGACGCTTTTGAACATCCCGTCTATCGGGGGGCCTTCGGCGATGGCCACGGGGTCTTTACCTACTGATCGTCAGGTGTTGTTGAGCATAGTGTGTACAAACCTGTGGCCGGTTGCCCATACCTCTTCATTACCTATAGTGCGTGCCCGTTTTCTTTATGCTCTTCTTCATGGGGACTCGATCGACTTTCCTAGTTTTGTGTGCCAGAATATTCTGGTTTCATTTCGTACTCCTGGGAGTCGGATCGGGTTGCCTTATGCTTGCTTGATTCATAGGGTTGCTTTGTCGTTGGGTGCTTCCTTTCCAGAGGGTTCGACTTGTCGCATAGGCCGTCCGATAGGACAGCAGACCATTCATCAGAGTCGATCCCATGTACAGTCATCTTCCTCTTCTGCTCATGCTACGGGTCAGGCAGCGGCCGTTGATGTTTTTGATCTTTCGGAGCCCTTTGATCCTATTACTGAGATTCTTACTGGGGGTTCCCGTGTATTTCTCCCGCCTCGTAAGGCTTTTCCTTTGACCATTCCACTTACTTCTGCCTTTCCTTCGACCTCTACTTCTACTTCTGCTCTTGGGGTGGCTGCTTTGCTTGTTGACCCCATGGTGACGCTTATGGGACAGATGTCTACTTTGGTCGAGCAGCAGGCTCGTATGATGGTAGAGATCACGCAGTTACGTGCTATGTCGGAGCGTCAGTCAGCCGAGCTTTCTTCTTTTAGCCGTGCTCTTGCAGTGTGTCAGCGTCATTTGCGTTGGATTCGTGATAGTATGGAGGAGGGCACGGGTGCTGAGAGCGGAGCTGAGTCTTCAGACGCTGGTGGTGCTGCATCGTAGTTAGTTAGTTTATTGTTTTGACCTTTGTCCATTGTGACAAAAAGGGGGAGTAGATATTTAGATAGATAGATTGATAGATCTTCAATTTTTTGGTAATTGTGTTATACTTCATGACTAGATTAAGTTTTTTTGATGTTTTGGCAATATTAATGTATGTTTTTGGTGTTTTTGACTTACATTATTATTGCTTCTTAATCTGGTTAATGACATATGATCGATTTCTTGTTTACTGTTTCCATTTCATATGCTTTTACACTTGGTATTTGAGTTTGTGATTTTCAGAAAACAGGTTCAACAAGAGATTGCTACTTTAGTTGAATAGATAGGTTGTTTGGAGTCATGTTTATTTTTGTCCCTGACTGTCATATGTATTTTTGTCACAGAATGCCAAAGGGGGAGTTTGTTAGGAAAATGTGTAATTGGCAATCTGTGACCAAAGGACCTATTTGTCAAAATTGTAAAGTCAAGGGCTAAATTGTACAGGTCAAATAGTTCAGGGACTAAAGTTGCAATTTAGTAAAGGTCATAGCATAGGTCTAGAGTAAAGTGGGATGCCTTGAAGATGCAAACGGCGTGTTGATGTCGCTGGAGTTTCGCCCTGACCTTTCTAGAGCCAAAATTGCAGAACTGACCTCTCTGGAGTTTCGCTGGTCTATTTCCTGAGCGAAGGTACGTTGCTCGAGTTTTGCCAGGACCTCGCTCGAGCGACTATGTTATTTGGCCTTCGGTAATTTTAATGCCTTGCGAATTTTTAACGCCCTATATTACCAAATTCGACCTACTATATAAACAAAACGTCCGATTTTCTTATGTGACCTTTGGCAAACATTAAAACAACAATTCCTCTCAACTTCCAAAGGACCAAGAACCAAAATAAATTCATCTTTTTCACCTTTGATTCTGATGGTTCTTTGAATAAAAACATCAACCCTCACAAAACCAAAGCACCCTTTCATATCTCCATATAAACTTCCAGAAGATCATCTGTTTAAAGATCTGGGAAGGAAATTGCTTGAAGAACTGAAGAGCTTGGTGATTCACAGGAGGTAGAAGATATTCAAAGCTGGGATTTTGGCGCAGATCTGCAAAATCCAGGATAGCTGTGGTCGATACAGTAAGGAGGTCAGAATATTGTTAGAATCAATAATGTCTGACGCACTGTAAGTCAATATCTTCTATAGTGGATCTCTACTGGCTTGTACCCGGAGCTTTTACCCAGTTGGGTTTTCTCCGTCAACATTTTGTTGTGTTTTTACTGCTTTCTGCTATTTATTTTTCAACCGGTAATTCAACTTAGGTAGATAAAGTATGTGAATGAATCTAGGCAATGCATAATTGATGTGACTTGTTGCATCAGTTAATTAATTGTTTTAATTCCGCATAAACACCTATTCACCCCATCTAGGTGTTGGTTGGGTCGAACTATTGCTATTTCAGAGAGGAAGAATTCTTGAATTGAAAAAATACACAACCCAAAGGAAATTAGGTTGGTTCGCTAATGTCGGGTTGTGTATGTTAGTATGTAGACTCCAAAGCCCAAAGGAAATTAGGTCCCATTAGTCCAAGACGCCAACCCAAAGGCCCCAAACCATTTTTTCATTTTGGAATTAATGTGGATTTTGAGGCCCTGGGCCTAAGCCAAAAATTGGAGGCCCTAGGTGGTTGCCTATGTGGCTTGGCCCAAGGGCCGGCCCTGCTTGAACAATAGATGTTGAAACACTTCTAGGAAGAACGGTAATTCGTACACTATTTTTATGAAGAGTGCATAATTTGTGATTTTATAGAGATTCAATTTTAAATCTTTGACATGAATAGCTATATAAAAAGGATATCACTTTGTATATAATGTTGAATTGTATATCTAAATGGTTGCAAAAATCTTGACGTTCAACATTTTTAATTAAATCAACGACCAAGCTAAATTTTGTTGGTGAAATTTCATCAATAATAATAAAGATTATCGACTAATTATTGTTTGCCGACAATGGCAATAGTATCCATTTTATTTTTAATGTTTGAAACATCCAAAGAAGATTGAAGACATTATTCTAGTACCAGGAAATACATTTTTGTTGTTTTTGATATAAACCTTAAAAGGGCGGGGGCGGGGGTGGGATTTAACGAGACACTTACATGGGAAACATAATTTGATCATACATTTGGTACCTTAATTATGTTTTAACAGGTTATCAAATTGAAATTCTTGTAAGGAAAAACAATTGATTAAGATTAATAATTTTTTTTATCATGATATTTTCTTTTCAATCATTTCCGTAAATGAAACTTATTGAAAGACATCTAATCTTATTAAAAAAGCCCATGATAAATTTTGTAACATATAATTTTTTTTATTTTTTTTCCAATTTTGTTAATACTAGCTAAATATGGTTTCTTTCAAGTACTAGTATTCATTAATCAACAATTTTATGACACCCATCAATATCTCAATTGATAGAAATAAAAGCTACAATTTTAAACATCTAATGACACATTATTTTGGAAACTAGAATATTTATCATTTGTTACATCTTCCACCTTCGTGCCTGGGGAGATGAGGATATCTACCATTGCCTCAATCACCTTCATCTTCGAGGTTAAGACCTTGTGGCCTAATGCCTTATTAAAAAATAGCCCTCGAGACATTGTAATTTTGTGCAGACTTGTCACATCTTCCCTCTGAAACGATTACAGGACCCACCCCTTAAGCCACTTTAGATGGGCCATTGGAATTCGAGGCGCTTGGTGCCCAAGATCCTCATGTCTTGTACAAGTTGGAATTTGACACGTTGAGAGCTTGTTTAGGACTAATTCTTGGAATCAATTTTTCGACCGTTACAGAGAAAAGTATGTCTCACCTATGAATAAAAAAAGTCAAAAATGATGACTGACAATATTAAATAACGATAAAAAAAATGATTTTTTTTCTTGAAACATCATAACCAAACAAGGGCTGAGCCTAAACGATTTCATTGATATGACATCTCTATGAGGGCAGTTGGGAGTTAAATTCTCTTTATCCTGCCTAGGACAGAATGTAGAAGTCACGGGCCTATGATGGTTGTGATATGATATCACAAGTAATTTATGAGCCGTTAAGACAAATTATGTGTCAAACATTTGAATGATCCCAATTGCATTCATTTACCTATAAATGTTCGTACTTGATATTATTTTACAGCAATTGACAACTCATATCAAACAACTTATGAACCCTTTTCTTGAAAAAATCTTGATTATAATTTTAACGTATTTGTCCAACTACCCTACCAGATTGAAAAGTAAACCCATTTATTAATGTCTTTATAAGAGTGTGACTACTCGGACATTTTGCGCCTCCATATATACCCAAATTATATCCTTGTGATAGTGATATGATTGGCAGCTGAATCTTTCAATTTGCGTACATTTTCTTAGAATTTTCATGGAAGACTACAGCTCATTCCGTATCTATCAACATCTTCCTGGAACTATTCTACAGCTCATAACATATCTATCATCTTCCTGGAACTATTCGTTTACTAAGAGAGTCAATGTCTTAAAGTCCTACCAAAGCATCACCTTCTGTCTCTATATATTTAGGTGTATGTATTGTTGCAGGAGTGGCATTCCATAAATCTTATATATCCCTTGGTTTCATAATTTTCAGAGTCAAGAAAATCATTCTCGTTAGTCTTGGGATCCTCTCTCGTTTCAGAGCCATGGACACTCAAGCATTTACCCCAGACAACTCAATAGATGTAACTCTCTCTCTCTCTCTATATATGTATGTATGTATGTATGTATGTATGTATGTATGGACACACACATAGAGACTAGAAATGATCTCCTAAATATGGATGTTTAATTTATGTTAAGCACCACGTGAAATATTAATTAATTGGTGAATTGTTAAATTCATGTATATAATTTTGTGTGCACAGTGGAGGGAGGTGAAGGTAGGATTTGGCCCCATTGAAATTTTAGAATTTTTTATATATATTATTTTTTGCTCCGTAATTCTATGTGTGGTTTTGTCATAAACATGCATATTGTAGATGGTATATGCAATTATTGTTCCTTCTTCATAGAACTGTCGAAATTCGAGGCTGTTATAGGGATGGCAAGAGGGTAGGTATGGGACTAGTCGACCATTCCTACTCTCATCCTATCAGATATTTTTGTTATCTTACCCCATATCCATAACATATTAAAGCGGGACGAGCAAGTTTAGGATGGAATCGGGGAGGGGTAGGGCAAGTCCCTTGCCCCATTTATTTTTTGCTTTTATTTATTTATGTCCTTTGTAAATGTTATTATTATTTTTACCAATTTGTTAAAAATAACTTATGTTCTCTTTAAAAATGATGATAAATATATTATTTTTGTTCGATAAAAAATTAAATTTGAAATCAAATTTAAACGGGATAGATAGAGGGGTAGGGATTATATTTTTCGTATCTGCTTCGGACAATGACCCTTGTCCCCGTCCCAGTCCAAATCCCAATCCCATTTACCTAGTTATGCGGGAGTATAATTTGAACGGCATTTTTGCTATCACTAGTCTTTTAAGTCATGCAATTTGCCGTATTAGTTGACTTTAATTTTATCCTAGTTGATCATTATTCTTCTTTTATTTATTCATATTTATCAATTAAAAAAATTCTTGATTCTGTATATATTTCACTTAAAAAGAGCTTTATTTATTCTAGCTTCTTAATGTTTTGATTTTCACAAAATGTTGATCCTATTATAAGATTTAGGAAAACAGTCCAACTGAAGCCTAATTAATTGGTCATCACATAACTTCAAATACGAGGCCACACACGGCAACAAGCAAGCCCATTTTGGAATTCTGGCACCACACTTATTTTGTAGGCCAATAACCAGTAATCTAGTTGATCAAAGACGTCCCAAGTATGTCATAAGAAATTTAAAAGAAGTACTTTTTGTCATCTTTAATAAATTAAATTGTTTGCTACAGTAACATTCTCCACTAAATATTTACACAATAAAATATTCTACACACAAACCAATAAATATATATATTTTTTAAATTTTAACAAGCATTCTCCAAAAATACTATTTAAAACTCTATAATTTCTCACATAATGGGAAACAAACAGGCTTTAAATTATTTATAATATTATTTTTTCTTTACTTCTCAATAAAAAAAATTCTTTAAATCTAATTCTTATTATTGATCATATTACAACTGTAATGAGTTTAACCCCTATTCGATAGAAATTAAATTCAGATTTTAATTTAAGTCAAAGTCAACAATTTATTTTAACCACATATTTTATGAGACTCACAATTTTTCCAATCACATAATTTATCAACTTTTATCAAAATTTTCTAAAATTTTTATTTTAATTTTAGTTCTCACAAAACAATAGCTTAAAGAGGGACTGAATTTAACAGGTTCATGAATTTCCTCCTACCATGTGAAACTGACAGTCCTAATTCGGATAACTTTGACTAAGGATTGAATTAAGCCCCCATTTAATTTCATCAAATTAAATTAAAATTTTCATTATCATATTTTCAATCACACAATCTTCAATAAAATATTATTACACATAAATCGAAAACTTTTCATTCTTTTAAAATCATTTATTTTTCAAAAAAACACTACTCCTCCAATTATAATCAAAATTAATGGGGTCAAACGGGGACTAAATTTCATTGGTGTATTTTTGTGTTTAGTATTAAATCTTCATAAGTTTCCATTTTTTAATTCTTAATTCTGAGGGTCAATACATGTGTGGACACTGAAACAGAAGCCATTTACTTTTATACCAATATTCTTAATTTCTTAGTTATACCTGCTGCCAAATTTCATTGTAACGACTACTTCAGAGTGTATGTTGCTCATAAAAATAGTTTATTGTGGGGCAATAAGAGCATTGATCACTCTCCATTACATGTCCAATTCTTGAAAATACCAACTATCAAATTTGAGATGGCTTGCCTTTTCACCTAATTATTAAGCACATAATTAGTCACCATCTTCTTACAAGTCGACTCTAGGTGCGCTCTCGTAATTGTTAGAGGACTAAAAATAAAAATTATAGGTATCTTCTAATAATAATAAAAAAAATCTAACAAAAAAACACTAAACAATTTATTTATTTATTTTCCAAAATCTAGAGGGTCAATTGACCATGTAAAACACCCCCCCCCATCCGCCCATGATAAAAGACATATCTAATTCTAAAAAATAATTTTTTTTTACACTCCAACAGTGCTCTCTATTTTAACTCTTCATTTTAACAATTTTTTATTTTTCAAGTAACATTCATTAATATCTGCTCATCTTTTATTTAACATTTTTTTAGTCCTCTGTTTGGTAGTGATTAAAATTTATATTTTAATTTATGTCAAAATCAATATTTAATTTTAATCACATATTTTATGGGATCTATAACTTTTCAACCACACATTTTGTCAATTTTTATCAAAATCTACTAAAAATCTAATTTTAATCTCTATCAAACTGTGGCTAAAATAAAGTATTGAAACATGTTTCTAACTAAGAAATTATTATAAAGTAAGATTAGAGTATGAATTATTTTAGAGCATCATCTTTATTTTTAAATAGCATATTTTGTAATTTAAAGAATATCTATAAATTTAAAGAGTAAAGTTTTTTAAATATTACAACATCCTTTTTATCTTTAACACTTATAGTCCTTTTGGCCTACATTAAATTCTATTTCATTTTTTTCTCTCATATTTTCAACAACACAATTTTTCATTAAATAATATTACACGTAAATCGAAATTTTTTTTCAACAACTCATTATAAAAAAATACTATTCCATTCATTTTTATTTCAAAAAATGGTGGCCAGGCCGTGTTTGAGCCGTAATCTTTTTAAAAAATATATTCTTAGACAGTGATATAATATCATTTTAACCAGATATTTTTCAATAAAATAATATTACATGTAAATTTAAATTTTTTTCTTATTTTTTAACCACATATTCTATATCAATATTCTATTTTCAAAATGCATTCTTACAGTTAATTTCCATTACTCTCAATATGTATTTATTATTTTTTACTATCTTATTTTCACCAAGTTTTCCTAAATTATTATATTAATTTTCTCAATTTTCTTTGTGTATACTATGTAATTGAGTCGGAGCATTGAAAATTGAAATATTTCAATTCATTTTATTATAGATAGTGCTTGGCTCTCAAAATTTGGAAAGTCAAACACATTCTCTATTTTAAAATATTAATTTTAAAAGTCTATCGTAGCGTAATTTCAAAGTCTAACTTTTTAAAATAGAGAGTATTTCTAAAAGTTTATTGAAGATGTTATTAAAAATTTAGAATAGTGAGTCTGTTGAAACTTATTTTTAAGCATTGATTATCTAAAATAGAGATCATCTTGTGTTTATAAGCATCTTGAAAATTCTCTAAGTTTTTAAACAAACAAACCAACTAATCTCTTCCTAATAAAATCTTGAGTTTTGCAATGTGTACGTCCGAGGTCCGGATGTACAACAGCAAAATCCTAAAATCTTATATGATGAAACGAGAAATGCATGCACAAAAACTAGATAAGAGTTGCCGTAGGAAGGAGATTTCATTTCTTTTTCATTTATATTTCATTTTTTAACCTAAACTTCTTATTACATGCGTGACATTGTGATGGACACTGGTCCAAAACCATTGCGAAAAATAGTAATTTTTTTCAAAGCCACAAGAATTAGATATTGCTGGATGATTTAAAAGGCGTTGAAATATTCTAATTTAGCTACACGAGTAAAAGTGAATGCCATGTCATTGAATAAACTGAATTCTTGATCCTTAAAGCTTTGATCTGGACATTTAACTATATAATTGCTTATAATTTGGTCAAAATTTATGTTTATCAACACGTCATAAGATTTATAATTCTTACATAATTTTACGCATTTTTATTATCAATAAATTTCATAAGACTCACAACTTACAATCCAAACGCACTTTTATCATTCTTGATTTTTCGAGCTTAATGGAACATATGATTGTAGGAAAAAGTGAAAGCGAAAACTAAATCTATCTTTTTCTCTCTATATGTGTGCACGTATAAGATAATCTCATGCGTGCCCAGTACATACCTACTACATGGTTTAGGTAACGACGAAGTTCAAGTTTTAGATCACTTAGGATTTTTGGACTTCGTAGATTTTGATTCTTAATTCTAGTCAAACTAGAATTTTAACTATCAATCTCAATCAAAACCCTAGCCTTGACTTTTGTTCAATGCTTCCTTTGACGTGGTCAAGTATCCACCAGATTAAATGCTTGACGCCATCAAACTATGGAAACCTCGAACTTTAAATGCTTGTGCAATAAAGTGATAATCTATTTTTGAAGCTACCAAAATGGACTATCATAACTGTATAATTTAACCTCTAATAATTAGATACATTCAACCCAACCCTAGATTTTTTAGTCGAGTTATTAGTTTTTCACCAATCCACTAAATGTACGAGATTGAACTCTTGTATTATATGAAATCACATAAGCTTTTTTCTTTCCCTACAATTAATGTTATGAATTGATCACCAAATAATAACAATAATGAAATCAATAAGAATACAATAAGAACATCAAAATTAATGTGAAAATCTAAAATGAGAAAAATTTACGGGCAAAGGAGGAAATTTCACTATAATCAATAGCAATTGTGTTTACAACAAGATCCCAATACTCTTAGTTGAGATCTAAAACTCTCAAGATGTTGTACAAATATACTTAGAACAATATAAGTCGTGACTTCTATATATAAGCCATAGAATCGAAATTGTAGATAAATAAGAATACAAAAAATGCGTCAAAATGCGAAACGTGCCTAGGTTGGATAATCATGTTGCTCGAGTGACAAGCTAGTGGTAAGCACGAGATAGTTATGCCACTTGCGTGCCAGGCGAGAGCAACGCTAGAGCCAAGTCTTGGGAAGAATTCGATGGCGCTACTCGAGCAGTCAGCTAGCGAAAATACGTTGACTTTTCTTTTCGATTCATAATCTTGATCTTTTCAAGATCACTTCAACCAAAACTCCAATATCCATTAAAATTTGGATTAAACTTCTACAAATCTCCATCTTGGACCAAATTTCAATATAAGAAATTTCAAAACACATCTCCAAAGTAAAACACAACTCATCCTCTTCCAAACAGACCCCAATGGGTTAAACCAGTGACAAATGCCAACTAAATTTTAGTAATGCTCAAACTTAGCAATAAGAAATGGTTTTATCAATATATCAACAAGATTATCCTTGGTATCAATCTTGCTCACCACAACATCACTATGAGCAATCACATCACGCACAAAATGGTACCTCACATCAATGTGCTTAGTCATCTCGTGAAATATCTGATCCTTAGTCAGAAAATAACATTCTAACTATTACAATACACTGTAGAAATTTTATGGTCTTCACTAATTTCACCAATCAATCTCCTTAACCACATAGCCTCCTTACATGCCTCTGTAATAGTCATGTACTTTGCCTCTGTTGTAAACAATGCTACTGTATTATGCAAAGTTACTTTCTAGTTGATAGCACACCCTCCAAGGCTAAACACATACCCTATAAGTGATCTCTCCTTGTTAAAATTCCCTACATAATCTGAATTCATAATTTCATATGCCCAGTGATTTCATTTGTATTTCTATCAAAATGCAAGCAAGCATTAGTACAACTCTTCAAGTATCTGAATATCCACTGTATTACTTTCCAATGTTCCTTGCTAGGATTTTCCTATACTTTATAATTGCATTTGTCAAATCTGATCTTGTGCAAATCATAGCATACATAAGCAAACCAACTACACTGAAATAAGGATCCCGAGACATATAATCAATGTCGTAATTTGATTGAGGACATAAGCTAGATGATAATTTAAAGTGGACAACTAAGGGAGTATGATAGCCTTTGCATTCAGCATATTGAACATATAAAGCACATTTTTTAATGTACCTCTTTTGACTCAAATAAATCTGCTAGCTTTCATATTCCTCAAGATCTTCATACCAAGAATCTTCCTTGCTACACATAAGTAAGTGAATTGCCCAAATAGTCACTGAACTTTGTAAAAAGTTTGCAAGGGGTCACTTAACTTTAAAAAGCACCTAAATGGTCACTGAACTTTATAAAAGATTTCTACAGGGTCACTGTACTTTAAAAATCAGCTAAATGATCAATAAACTTTAAAAAAGGTTTCCCCGAGATCATCGAATTCAGTGATCCCTGGGAAACCTTTTGTAAAATTCAGTGACTGTTTAGGTGATTTGTAAAGTTCAGTGATCCCATAAAAACTTTTTGCAAAGTTCAGTGACTATTTAGATTAGATTATTTTTAAAGTTCAGTGACCATTTGAAAACCTTTTGCAAAGTTCAGTGACCATTTGGACAATTCACTCCACACAAGTCCTTCATTTCAAACTCATCATAATGTTGAGCTTTTACCTTTCTGAACTTTGCTTTATCCTTGATTGCTATGGGCATATCATCAAAATATAACAACAAATAAGAAAGCGATCCATCAACTCCTATTTCGAAGTATACACAACTATCATAACAACTTCTAATGAAATTATGAGTAGTCATGAATGAATCTAAACGTTTCGACGTCCATCTACTCAATTAATCTCCTCGCAATCGGTTATCTGTTAGAATCATTAAAATTTATCGCCTTTGAATGTATAGCAGGCCATCAGTGGGATCAATACTGTCAGCCATACTCAATACATGGGCTGCCAAGTCTATCTCTCTATACTTCTGTGTAGGTTTAATCTATTTGTGAAGTATATCCTTAGCAATCGAATACTATGATGCTGGTAGTGGTGTAGGCATAGTAGACAAAGTGTTACTGTTTGTTAGCTCTAAACTAGATTGATTTGAAATACTCTGTTCTAAAGCCTCCAATTGTTCTCCTGAACCAATTTCTAACTTTATCGAAGTTGAATGATTCTGTTCCTCAATTTTACCAGAATCCACACGAGGCGAACCATGAAACATAGCAAGTTTATCAAACAATACATCTCCAATGTCCACCACCTTTCTTGTCTTAAGACACTCCATTTTATACCTAATTTATACCCAAGAAAAATGTACTTCTAGACTTAGATTTTAGCTTCCCATTATTCATATGAGTATAAGCAAGACACCAAAAAATTTTAAATCAGAGTAATAAAAAGGTTTTCCAAACCACACCTCTTCTAGTGTATTTTTTCTCAATGGCAATTGAGGGTGAGCGATTAATCAGAAAACAAGCTATAGTAATAGCTTTTGCCTAAAAAGTATTCGACAAAGCAGAATTTGAAAGCATACAACAAACATTTTTCATCAAAGTTCTATTAATTTGTTCTGCCACACCGTTTTGTTGCAAAGTTCTAGACACTGTCAAGTGTCTCAAGATGCCTCTAGCCCCATATATGCTATTGAATTCATTAGGCAATCAATGACAGTGGCTTAATTCTAGATAGTTCTTTTTTTATTTTATTATTTTTCCTTTCTCCATAAGGAAATCTAGTGAGTTCTTTTTTATTATTATTTTTCCACTGGTTATGCACCAATATTAATAAGAGTACTGTATTTTGATGAATAATACGTTACCTTGAATAGGAGGTTGATGAACGAGATGCACAAGAGAAAGCGATAGACGAATGGCTTCCAATAACTTCTGCTAGGGGTGCAAAATGGTGGTATTCAGCTTTCCACAATGTTACGGCAATGGTTGGAGCTGGAATTCTCATTCTCCCTCATGCCATGTCACAACTAGGATGGTATGTTCCATTTTGGACAACATTAATTTTTTAGTTTTACTATAATTTTTGGGGATAATTACAGTTAAGACCCCAAATCTTTCAAAAAGTTGCAAATTTTTTCCTAACCTTTCATTTGTAGTAATCGTCACCCCCAAACCTTTCACAAC